AGGTTTTAATTCCAAAAGTGAAACTAGGTGTGCTGCCTGATTAGTGTTGAACTTCTATCAACTTCATTTATAGCTAAAAGTTCACAATTAGTTAATTAATCAAGAAAAAGTTAATGACATTGATTTTAAAAGCAATGAAATCCAGAAAAGTAAAAAGAAACCTTCAAGACCCAAAAGAAATTTTTAGATTTCTTTTGGGTCTTGAAGGACTAGAATTATATATTTAAAATATAGATAACTCTTCTGAAAACATGTTTGAAGATTCTGAGACAAAATTTATTTGCATTAGTCAATAAAATATTTTGATGTTCACATAAAGGGCCGTCAATATCTACTCCATAGATGTTAAAACTATTTTGAGTATCATCAGCTTTATCTCATGATATTTTTATTATCCATATTTATCATATTGAGCTATTATCAATATTTAACTAGTAGTCTAATTTACTTCCGTAGATTTGGCCATTGTACATTGGTTAAAAGTTTTTTAAAAAGTAAGATTGATTTATTCTAAATAAAGTGAAGTTTTGGATTTTTAATATCTAAAATTCCACTCTGTTTTATTATATAAAAGGTGTAATAAAAAGGTAATACAACGCATCAAAACACATCTCACCATTATCTCTCTATTTATGATTTCTTTTTATCCAGTTAAAAAGTTTCCTCAGCTATGACCTTTTTTTAAATATTTTCTTCAAATACGAGAACGTTTTTTATGCCATAAAAAACGTTCTCGTATTTATTTATCTATTTTGGCCTTGGGGCAAAATAGGATATTTTTATAATAATGAATAATGCAGACTTATGATATTATAGCCAGTGATAGCCATAGCCTAAAAATTATAACAACTTTAAGGCTAAATATAATTTATAGCAAGGCATAAGCCTAAAGTCTAAAAATAATATGTTGGTAACACTTCTAGCTAGTAGGCCAATACTAGCCTGTATTAGTTGTATCAGTATATAACATATTATGAAGTGTAAAGGCTAATATAATATTATAGGTCTATTTGTTGTTTAACAAAATTACAATTAAGCTAGAAGCATTACATGTGTATAATTACACGATTTAAAAGAATTATAAACTCGAGGAAAAAATGGAGAAGAACCCCATTGAAACTAACCCATTTTACCCCATTGTTGTGTGTCACATTAAAATGCATTATAATCAAAACTAGGTTAATTTTATTGTTAAATTTATATATTGTTTATAATAAGACATTATTCAGATACATTAAAAGCTGTTTAATAATTAAAGCTTTAAAGCTTTAATTATTAAATACCAGTTTCTAAGTTAAAAAAATTAGACGAATGAGATGCGAAGATTTGTATTCACTTAAACAATAATGCTGCGTAAAAAATGGACAATAGCTTAAGTTAGTATTGTCTTGTATTGCGTTACTTTAGATCCTATTATTTCTGATAGGTTTTAGGGGAAAAGTATATTTCCTAAACCCCATATTATCCTAACACCCCGTTTTCCCTAATAGCTTCCAAAATAAATTACTTTTCTCCATTTCCTACCAATGCATCCATTTATTGTAAATTTCCAACAAATTAGAGAGTGGTGTCCATCTATATGACATAGAGAATTTGGGCAAAGAATATAATAAAATTTTCTTATAACAAGTACTCAAAATCATAATACTGTATTCCTATAATCTATTCTGTTTAAACTAGAGCAGATTCCTCTTCTTTGTATATTAAAACCTTTTGATTTTAAATAGCCATATAATAATGGTTTTCCAAATGGTCCGCCGTGACAAGAAATGTACTTACGTATAATTATTTCTATTTCCTGGTCATTGGTGTTGCTAAAACAAGAAAAATTGTTTTAGCAACTTTAATGATGTTAATCTATGTTCATTTACTTAGCGATGAATTGTGCAACGTGAAACACGCTAATTATTTGATAAACAATTCCAACATCAAAATTCTTGTTGAACATATTTTGGAATTTGCATCATAGCCCTCTAAAAAATACTTCTTTGTAGTACATTAATAATAAAAGAACTATATTTTGAAAATTTTTTATGATAACAAAGGATTAGCATATGTCAAAGCTCGACAAATATATCTAATATACTTTCTACTATTCATTTGTTATTTTCATCACCTCTAAACTCTTTATCAAAAAAGTTTAAGAGTTGAATTAATTGATCGTTGAAAAGCGTGTAAATAGCTTTTTACTAGAAATGTTTAACATATTTGATGAATATTTGAAAAAAATCAAATGAAGGGATCAGAGCAAAAACAAGGAACTTTTTGAAAATTTGGAGATTTTTTTTATTAACATGTTGTATAAATCATAGACTTCTTTCTGTATTAAACTTGAAGTAAAAAAATAAAAGCTAAGGGTCCGATTTAAAGGACGTAAATGAAGTTTTAATGAGAGTATAAGAAATCTTCGAAAATAGATTTTTCTCAGTTTGCGAAAAAGTGACATTCCCTGTTTTTACCCTGACCCCTTCAAATATTTGAAAATGATCAAATATATATTTGATAATGATCAAATATATATTTGAAAATGATCAAATATATAAAATGAAAATGATTTCAAATATATATTTGAAAATGATCAAATATATAAAATGAAAATGATTTCAAATATATATTTGAAATGAAGTTTATATTTGAAAAGTTAAAATATTTTTTCGATTTTGAATATTGCTACAATTGGCAGGCATACGCGATTTAAAAAAAAGAAAAAAATTTTTGAAAAAAAAGGATTCTACCTACTCTTTTTGTAACGACTCTTTTTGTTTTACTTTTCTGTTTATTTTATATATAGATTGTAAATAGTTATGCTAAATGCTTGTAAAAGGTTCTGATAATAAGATCAGTACGATCTTCTTTCAGAAACTTTTTTTGTATTGGTTAAAGTATTCTATTACGACAAATGTAAACTTAAAATGTAAAAAAAAAAAAAAAAAAAATGTTTGAAAATGATCAAATATATATTTGAAAATGATCAAATATATATTTGAAAATGATCAAATATATATTTAAAAATGATCAATATAAAATGAAAATGATTTCAAATATATATTTGAAATGAAGTTTATATTTGAAAAGTTAAAATATTTTTTCGATTTTGAATATTGCTACAATTGGCAGGCATACGCGATTTAAAAAAAGAAAAAAATTTTTGAAAAAAAGGATTCTACCTACTATTTAAAAAAAATAATTGTTGGTCCAAGCAGGTAATGCTTGTAGCTATGTGATATATCCATAGATTATATAATTATAAAACATCATTTCACTGGATTTGTGTCGAATAAAACTCGTTTGACGTTGACATTTTTTAAAATATTGGCTACAAGCACTTTTTTTAAGCATGGTTACAGCGATAATTTGAAATTACTTTAATGTTTACCACTTGATGATTTTCTATCTGCGTCATTAAATAGCAATCGACCCACAATCTAGCTGCGTCAAATAAATCGGCCCACAACTTTAAATTTTTAAAATTTAGAACAACTTTAAATTGTACGTCATAATTTTGTCTATATAAAGTTTGTATTAGACCGGGTAAATAAAAAAAAAAAGTAATAGCGTTTTTGGAGTCATTGCTCAGCTTTACGTGAACAAAAATTTCAACAAAACCGCGTAAATTTTTATTTACGTAAAGCTGAGCAATTACTGAGTAAAAGTAATTCCTTTTTTTATTCACCCGGCCTATTGTTTTTCTTATTTTTTTTAAAATTAAACATAGCTATGATGGGTTTTAAAGTAGTTCGAGCCTGTTTTCAAATTTTAGGTTATTAAAAAGTTTAAGGCATATAAAAGATTTGAAAAGTTGCTTTGATTGCTGTATTTCTGACGCTTTCAAAATGTCTTTTACAAAAAAAAGACGTGCTGAGATAAATGTACATGTTTTTTATTGCAAAGGAACATTAACCCATTCTTAAGCTAAATAGTTAACCACAGAACTGTTTTAATTTTTCTGTTCTTTCTGTACTTGATCCATTTTTGAAAGACATTACTGCATCACATACGTTTTTTGGACTTTTTTGACATCTTTTTAAAACAAAGTCCTTTATAAAAAAATCTTTATTCCGATTTCATTTAAATCTTACATGATGATTATTTTTGATAAAAATTGTCAAGCAATCTGAACGACATAAAGCTAAAAGGTAAACAAATTCCGGTAAAAAAAAGAAATTGCCCGTTATTTAAGTTATTAAAGTTAATTAAACTTTTAAGTTTTGAGGCGCATCAAAAGATAAAAAGTTGTTTAATGATTGCGGTATGTTAGCTAACCCCGACAAACCAATTTAAAAATTTGGCAAAACGTCAAAAAATGTAATTTGCATAATATTTCGCTCAAAAATTCTCGCTCATTTTAGCGATAAGGTTATATTTTTATATTTTATTACATTGCTAATTCTTCAAAATTAGGTTATCGAAAATTAAAGAAAATTTTTACCAAAAAAATTCATTCTATCAGTTTCATAATTCCTCATACAAGTTTTTTTTTTTTTGAAAAACTGTTGCAAATTTGGTTTATGAATCTACTCGATTTTCAATAATTTTTTTCAATTTTTTTAAATTTAATCTAGTTTAAATTTAATTTCAACAAAGTAAAAATTGTCTGAATTATTTTATTATTACTAAAGCACTTGGTTTTTATAATTCTTTGTTTAAATTTGCAAAAAAAAAAAAAAAGCTATATAACAATTTTTTCCCTTTCCTTAACATTGGTAAAAAATTATTTAATTCAACTGTTTTTATTTTTTAAATCGAACATACGTTAATTGCGTTACTTGCGTCTAATCGATTACTTTAGTTCGATATTATAATTCGTATAATTAAAAAAATTTGTATCTCAAACGATTAAAAAAAAGTTTGACTTGCGTTAAAAAACAAATAAAAAACCAAAAAAAAAAAGGTATATAAAACAAGCTGAAGTGGTGCCAGTCACATTTGTAAGAAGGATATCTTATGGTTGCAAATCTATCATTATAGTTTTATTGAGCTCTAACAAATTCATTAATGATTTAACTAATGATTGGCAATCTTATCGTCTCAATAAACGGATTCCGACGGACGGAAGTCAACTCTGAGGATAATTTTTGTATTATAAACGAGACTTGTTATTGTCGGAGTATTTTACATATATTTAGATTTTAGATTTCGTGCACATTTCTAAGAGTCATTTTAAAGCAAACGATTAAAGAAATGCTAGGAAATTTACCTTCTGCAAAGGTTTGTTAAATTCATATAAAAACTTCAAAAATAAAAAATAAAAAAGAGAAAAAAAAGTTTAATATTAGGAGCTCATTTGGGCTAAGTCTATTGTACCAATTTATAGCTTAAGTATTATGATTCACAATTTAATATTAGACAAAAATGATTTAGCATTTTCAACATATATATATATATATATATATATATATATATATATATATATATATATATATATATATATATATATATATATATATATATATATATATGTATATATATATATATATATATATATATATATATATATATATATATATATATATATATATATATATATATATATATATATATATATATATATATATATATATATGTATAATTTATTAAATGAGTGGTCACATAATACTTAATATTGTAGATTATTTTTATCTATTATATCAATTTCTATAATTAGTTTATCGGAATATGTCTTATCTTGTGTTGCCCAAACTTATGGACTATGAGTTTAGTTATACCTCGAAAACACCGCATACATACACCTTCATTAATAGATATTCATGAAACATCTAAAAAAACCGAAATAGTGCCGACTGCAAATCTTGAAGAACTATCAAACATAACAAAGAAAGATGATACCAAGGGAATGACATCTGACCAACCTTCTCAAGATGCAACAAGTTTAGATAGAATTTTAAATACAATTTTAAGTGATAAAACAAATGCTAGAAAAGTTTATTTAAGGAGCAAAATAAAAGGCTTTTACTTAAAAATGAACAATGATGGACATCTCAGTGGCACACACGACATAAGTGATAAAAAAGGTTAGAAACACTATATTTTTGTTGGTATGTGTGTGTGTCTGTGTGTTTTTGTGTGACGTAGAAATTTAAAAACAATAGAATAAATTAAAGTTTAGTTTTTGCACAATTTTTTTGCAGAATAAAACTTAACTCATACCAAAATGGGTTTTAATACAACTAAACACAAGCATAATCTCTATCAGTGAATTCTTTAATGTTTTATCGCAAACGTATAGATAAATGTGTATAAATTTTACACAACTTTTTTACAATATATTTTTTTAAATATTGGATATTTTTAATTTATCGTAAATATTAATAAGAATATACTTAAAAAATTTTTTTTTAAGTTTTTCATAACATAAAAAAAAGTAATTGAAACGAGTAAATAAAAAAAAAAAAAAATTTTTGAATTTTTAATTAATATTTGCGATGCAAAAACTATTAATTCATTTTAAAGTCTTAAGTAATCCACTGAAAGAAAAACCGTTTTTTTGTAGACAAAAGTTCCTTTATGCATCCATATAAGCTATTATGCGTCACACAACATTAAAATATTCGGAACAATAACCGGAACCAAAGAGTACTTATTTCAATTAACATTCACCCTAAATATTGGAGTTATTTAGAAAACTTAAAATAAAGAATAGATATAAATTTTCAGAACAATTTCATTCAAAAATATAGCATCTTTAATTTTTTTATTTTTCAACTATTTAATATAATCACTTTTTAAGACCTTGCAAGAATTTTAATAATAAAAATTCACATTGTGTTTCTGTTGTTGTTAGCAATATTTGTTATTGAAACTATGACACGTGGAGTTGTAAGAATCAAAAGCGAAAGTACTGGTAAATACATATGTATAAACCAAAATGGAAAACTTGTAACAAAGGTAAGTGATATAATCCCAATTTACATAATCTAGGTTTATCAATGATTTATTACGTCACTTGTTGGATTTAACAAGATTATTATAGTAATTTAAAAAGTTGTACCGCAACATCCTTTTTTTTTTTTTACATTTCTACAACTTAAATTCTATCACAATTTTGTATAGGCTAAACCGATACTCAAATGTTTACTTCGACAATACTTCGAAGAGAATTATTATCATATATTTTGGTCGTATAAATATTCACGTGTATCGGATGGTGAAAGCGGTTGGCTGCTTGCATTAAGAGACAACGGCAGAATCAAAAGACCGTCAAAAACTAAATTAGGCGATAATTCTACTTTTTTCTTTATACAAGATGCACAAAATTTATGGCTAGGATAATTATAGGCATTTAGTTTAGTTAATGTTTATAGAGTTCAAATTATTTATATCAAATTTAGGGTTTCATCCTTTTTACAGAGTGTTTGAACATTATATTATTAAGTTATGGATAACCCCTTTTATACGGGGTGCTCAGTAATTATGAATGTAAATAAGATTTATTTATATAGATTATGAAATTATTTTTAATTTATTAACAATTTTTTAAATTATTATTTTTCTTTATACTCAGAAATTATATATTTATTAGTAGTGCTACTTAAATAACTTTTTTTTTTTTTTTTTTTTTTTTGTGTTATAAAAGTACGCCGTTTTTTGTCATTGGTAAATCAATTTCTTTTTCTTTTTTATAATTAACAAATTACCTTTTTGTAACGCCGCCAAAAGATTAAAATGCGAAGAATTAACTATAATTAAAATATTTAAATGCAATATATTTTGTTTATAAGAAATGAATGGAGTTTACTTGTACTTCTTATATAATGAATAATATAGCGTTAACTCAATGGTTTAAACTCTTTACTTGTTTTAAAAGTTTAAACGTTTTAGTCAAACCATTCTTTATTTCATTCTTTTATAGCATTATTTGTTTCTCTTAAGAATTCATACATTTTTTTTATGAATTTTTATGAATTAATATGAATTTTTATGAATCGGTAATAATAGTTTTAAAAAATGAATATACATTTTTAAAGGAAGTAATATTTTTAAAGGAGATTTTTTTAATGCATTTAAACAAAAGCACTGATTGTGAATTGCTAAGGGAATAATTTTTTATTTTTTATTTTGTTCATGAAATAAAGAAAGGAACTATGTTGAAATAGACAATGGATTGAATTAAAATATGGGGTTTGATGCTCTTAAGTTTATTGGTCTAAAATGGGAAAAATGAATTATGGAAACAAAAGACTAAAATTTATAACATTTTTATAAAAATACTTCTGAACTTTTTCACAAAATTGTTTTTCTTTTCAAATATAGGTTTTATTGTAAATTAAGCATACGTTTTGGTACCCAGCAAAATATTTTGCTTTTCCAACAAGTGCAGTTAGCGCTCGGAAATTTCCTTAGAATAGAAGTTTATTTTAATAAGTTTTTTTTTTTTTTTTCATTGCTGTATTTAATAATCGACATTCTTTTAAACTATTTTAAGTCCAATGAGACTAATACTATTTGAATTTGTACCAATTAATAGCCAGGTTGAACAATTAAAAGTCGAATGGCTTGTAATAAAAAATTAGATGTCACTATTTTTAATACAGATTATAAAATGTTAAGAAAAATATTTTAAAAATAAAAAAATAAAAAAACATTTTTAAGTGAAATTATAAACTTGTTGAAGATTTATTTGTTATCTGACTATTGATTATCTGATATAGGGGAAAGCGGGGCAACATGCCGAATGGAGCAAGATCGGTTTTCGTATAACAACTCAACAAAAAATCTTAAAATTGGGTGAAAACGAAACTGTATTTGCATCTTGTATTTTAAAACACCAATTTGTTTTTTTAAATATTATCAACGCAATTTTATACGCATAAGTTTACTTTTTGCGCTTAAAAAAAAATTCCTCACTTTCGGTTTCTCATAATGGATGGTGTCCTTCAAGTTTAACTTCTTTAGAAGTAGTTTTTTGCAATTTGTGTTTATTTTTTGTTACTTTAGTTAGAGTTATTGGTAGTTTTTTAAAATTTTATAAAATAGGAGGTAAAAATTGCATAATAAGTCATCTTGCCCCGGTCACGTGACCAGATGACAAATTTATGAGCTTTTTATTTAAATATTTATTTCAAACTGTTATATTTGCAAATAGAAAATTCATCCAGGCAATGAAGAATTTTAATAACATAAACATAATGAGAAATCATTATTGGTTCACGACTGATAGTTTTGCAATAACTCAGGACTTTCAAAACGTTCGCCATGTTGTCCCGCTTTCCCCTATTTATTATTGAACATTTATTTATTATTATTTATTGATTTTTATTTTACACAATTTCTTTAAAACATAAATAATACAATTATTAATGAAAATTCAATGTAAATATTTGGGTGGAAAAAAATGAAATCAATTTTACGCGGCCGAAGATTTCTTTAAACTACATTAAAAAATCTATTTCTACTGGGCCGTTTCTAAGAGGGACCAGACACTAACTACATATCCAACTTTGCCGACTTCAGTGTCCAAATTTGCCGACTAATTAATTTCTTAGGGGGACTAGACACCCTTAACGGCCCTGCTTATTCACAAAAAGGTTCTCTAAAAAATCTAAATTATAACAGTTACTATAAATTATCAAAAAACATTTTCAAAATGCCAATTTATTATTTTTATGTTTTTTATTTTATAATTTAATTCAATAAATAATTAGGAGCAAAAGAATAAACATTTTCGTAACTATTTTATTCTATCCTCTATTTCAATTTACACTGTTTATCTCAACCTAATCTCAATTTTTTTGCTCTTAAAGAAGATATTTTTAAAATGAACTTAATATTTTTAAAATGAAGTTTTCAACCATCACAAATATCAAGGGGTACCAGAAAAATTAACTTTAATCACATTTGTATTGCCTGTCGGGCACCACACCTTTGGAACAAATTTGTTTTCCCAAATTTTGATTTTGAATAAGCAATTACTTTTCGCTATTTTAAAAGTAAATTAAAAACCCTACTACTTCCATTAGATGACGTATTATGTTGTTATTAATAATATGATTTAATAACATACCTTTACTTGTTTGCATTTATAAAAAGTTTATTCTCACTTATTTTCTTGATTTTTATACATTTTACTTAATATTTTATTATATTTTAGTACACGTTTATATAAATTATTGGTGAGTAGATCCGTGTGATCTCTCTTTTGATTATATACTATATACTTTGAAAATTTGTAGAAGTTTAATATTATTGTTTTTACCTTTGTTAAACGCTTGTTTGAACTTATTTATGGCTCTGACGACAAAATCCTTTGATCTTCTTTCAGATACCTTGTTTTATATTTGTTAGAGGAAAGTCGGGTAGCCCTGGACGGCGGGTAACTCCGGACACTTGATGTACAGCTTAAACTAAAAAAGCTATTTGACTTTTAATACTAGAATAACATAATATGAGTGAAAATATGGCATATGCAAAATATCTATCATAAAATGTCGAAGCAAATGACTGGGAGGGCAAGATTTTGTTTCCCACCACCAGAAGAGCGACGTATCATCATATTTGATTCACATATTAATATACCTAATTTTTATGTAAACTAACAACTTTTTAATGATTAAAGGTATATTTTTATTTACAATAGTTATTAAAAAAAAATTCGTTAAAAAGTTCAATTCACTGGTTTTAAAACTAGTATTTGTGAACGAGGTATGATTGGGTGGTATCGGACACATGCTAGGAGGGTGACCCCGGACAACTTAATTCGTTTACATATTAATAATAAACAACTTTTTTTATATAAGTATTAATACATTTAGTATAGTACACAAACCTATAACAGTAATTCATTTAATTCCAATAAAAAAATATTAGATTTGAAAAAAGTGTTTTTAAAGTGTTTATTTTCATTATAAAAAAGCTTATGTTTATATTTTTAAATGATGACATTTTCATTCTCATTCTATATATATCAGAGGCAATTTTGAAAGGCAATTTTTTTAAAAATGTGTCAAGAACAGTCCAATGCTAAATTATTATATATTACATTTGTGTCACGCTGGTAAAAAAAAGAGGTAAAATCATGGTTAAACTATGTGTTTAACCATGATTATACCTCTTTTTTACGAGGTAAAATCATGGTTAAACACATAGTTTACGGGGCTACCCTTCAATTTTGAAACATGCCTTTTTTCTAACATTTTTATTCTTTTATGTTTTGTATATTATTAAGATACACAATAATTATTTTTTGTTTCTAATTCGATAGATGAATGTTTGAACTTTTAAAAAAAGTCTTTTGACACTTTTTTTCTTCTGTTAGCATATGCGCACAATCTATATTTTCCTTAAGTGTCTGGGGCTACCCGACTCTCCCCTATATCGTTTATCAAAGATTTGTGAAAACTCATTATTTTTATTTTTGGCAATCAATAAATTTAAAACGACCAACAAATGTGAAAAAAAAATTCCTTTTTATATGCACCCTAACCTCTAAAGAGTGAGGTGGGTGTGTGCTACTTCTTTATAACTTTTCTTTTGTTATTTGATTACACATGTAATTACCTATTTAAGTTCTTTAAATATTGGTAAGAGTCTATGATTTTTTGGTACAACCCAAACTTAAGTATAGTTTCTAGAGTAGCCGTGGCGCAGTGGTTAGAGTTCTGGCTCAGAACCCAGAGGTTCGATTTTGACGCCAGCTTTAGCCTTCTTGTTAAATGCTCCCCCACAGTACTCTGTGATAAGACCGTAAGGACTTCTGGCAGCACCTAATTAACTACACTTAAATAACTAAATATTTCTTGAGCAACGTAATAGCAATAAATGTGAACAAATTTTTTTGAAAATCACGATATTTTTAATTAAATGCTTGTAAACATTAGATTCTTTGTCACTTGTAAGATGCTCATGAACCCTTGTTGTTAAGTGTCTGGAGGTTTCTTCAATATAACTGGCATTACATCCAGCACAAGAAAATTTGTAAACAACATTGGATTTGAGTAGCTTAGGAATTGGATCTTTTATACATTAATTAATTTGTAATTTTTTTGTAGTGAAAATTAAATTAATTATGACAGCTTTATAATATATATATATATATATATATATATATATATATATATATATATATATATATATATATATATATATATATATATATATATATATATATATATATATATACTTTAGATTTAGTAAAATTTGAGTAAAATCCTATAAATGGAAAGTTTATAATATCTTATATTAGGGTTATCAATACTATTTATAATAGACGGATTTAACTTTTTATCAACAAATAATTTAATTTCATTGTCAATTATTTTTGGTGGATATCGGTTTTTTTTTTTTTAAATCAGATAGATATTTTATGACTTCATCAAATCCTAACCATGTGTAGCCATGTGTTGTTGATTTTATATGATCTATCAATCAAACAACGTATGACTAATTTTATAACTATAGGGAACAAAACAATTATATATATATATATATATATATATATATATATATATATATATATATATATATATATATATATATATATATATATATATATATATATATTATTTATTTGAATTTTCATGCTATATT